TGCTGGTCTGTTCACATCTCTCTCTATATATATATCTATCTATCTCTATCTATCTATCTATGCTGGTCTGTTCACATCTATCTATCTATCTATCTATCTATCTATGCTGGTCTATTCTATCTATCTCTCTCTCTCTCTCTCTATCTATCTATGCTGGTCTGTTCACATCTCTCTCTCTCTCTCTATCTATCTATCTCTATCTATCTATGCTGGTCTGTTCACATCTCTCTCTCTCCCCATCTATCTATCTATCTATCTATGCTGGTCTGTTCACATCTCTCTCTCTCCCCATCTATCTATCTATCTATCTATCTATCTATCTATCTATCTATCTATGCTGGTCTGTTCACATCTCTCTCTCTCTCTATCTATCTATCTATTAGGTGCGTTCTAAAGCTCCCCGTGAAAAAAAAAATCTGAGAAAATTTCCACATACTTATAAAAGCAGCGATGGCGCCTACCCTGAATTCATCACCAGAATTCATGATGTCGAATGAATAAATATTAAATACTTCAGATACCTCGGTGTATAGATCAGTTATACCAGATTTATCTAGGAGATAATGAAATTGAACATAGAATAGACTGCGCAAGAGATAGTTTCGCCCAACACCGCAAATTGATACAAAACCAAAACACAATCCTGAAAACTCGTGTCATGTTCTTAAATAGCTTCGTTAAATCGAGACTTTCATATGGATGTCATGATTGGCACTAGATCCTTTCAAAATATTTAAACTGTTCCCTGTAGAGCACAGCTTTCTCGGATCAATGGTTAAAAATGGCTTTAGCGCCAGTGAATTCTGTATCTTGGCGAAAAGCATACTTCTTCGAATACTTTGAAGACTGGCGCCACAGAATCACAAACAAAAAACTTTACCATAAAAAGTATGCACATCACTTGAGGTCTCTCAACAGCAGCAACAACTAAAATGGATATCACATGTAACCGAAGTGAAAATAATGATATATTGAAGGTGCTGATATTCCACACTACTTCAAATAAAAGGTTGGGAAGGAAACTCCGATCAATACTGCATTTGAGAAAATCGTTTTCCGGAAAAAATTGTTTTAATAGAAAGATTTTTATAAATTTCAACCGACTGTAGTACTGGCTGATCGATTAATGAATGCTGAATGTTTCCTCATAAGGAAAAGGCTAATATTACCATTACCATTATTATGAACAATGTCTAATTCCAGTTTACGGTCAGGTCACACTAAAGCATTGGTTGTCTTACGTGGAGTATTTAGAAGAGGGACCTCAAGAGGATTCAGTGTATCCTAAGAAATAGAAAATTAAACCCCGTCAAGAAATCCCACGTTTGGAACGCAGGGTGGTGGTAAAAGGTATTAGTGCGTAAAATGAAAGAATTGTTTTGGATTAAATCATACGTTTGGTCACTCTTCTGTCTCCTTTCAGTTAATACTTAGTCCATTCATCCCACTTTCCGTAGCTACATTGTCTTTGTCGTCTTTGGTATGACAGTAAAATACACCAGGCATCAAGGCCTCTGATTGGGAGGTTTTAAGGAGCATGGAATCACCTCTTAATTGCTGTTGTTCACAGGTCGGTCCTGATCTGGGGTGGTAGCACCTGTTAAGGTCCCTTCTACTGAAAAATAGTGAACCCCCAAACTAGGGTCAGAAAATTATGAAAGTAAAAAAAATATTTTATAAAATAGTTTTTTTTAAAAAAAAAATAAATTTCCAGTAATAGATTTTAATATTAAAAAAAATTTACTAAAGCTCCCAAGAAAATTAAATTTCGGCTTGAAATTAGGAGTTGATATGGTGTTAAACAAACCAAACTAAACAAAACATTGTCTAAGAGTTATTTCATTTGTTTGAGTCTGTTATCAACCCAGTATCAGCCGTGTATATTATGTTGGTAAGATTATGTCTCCAGTAATAATCCTGGTATATATGGACAATACTTGTTCTCAATAAGGATTAAGTATTACTCGAATATATTTACCTTGCAAAACATGCATTCCTATTATTTCAAGCTCTTTCTCTCCTACCCTATCAATTGCCTTTGTGTAATCTATAAAGCATTAGTATAGATCTTTATGTATTTGTATTGTTTGCTCAGGCAACATTCTTTACACGAGTCAGCTAGGACCCAAAACATCTAGAATGCAGCTGCTCAATCCTCTCTTTCCGGCCTTGACAGAGTGCATAAGCGTTTACGTGACCGTGTGGGTGATGAATAATTTTCTATCTTACAACGCCTTCTTCACAGATGCAACTTCGTCAGCCTTATCGCGACTCTAGCGCCATTTCCATGTTCTGACGAGCTACGGTCATTAAATTCATCAGTTCAGACCTTGACATTCAAGATGCGCCATGCCATGTACACAGGGGAAACAACTGTCATTCCATTGCTAAGAAGTAAGTTTCATTTGGACAGATTCTTCCTAAGGGTAGCTTCTTTAATGCTTCCCCGATCACTAAATTTGAAATCTCTTCAAGTCTAGAGACAGCCGTTATCTATCCAGCATATCTTCATAATGTACAATTCTTCGTAAAACAACCCTATTGAGTATGTTCGGATCGGATTGAAGAATTTGGAGAGCCGAGTTCGAATTTCAGTGGAATCCATTATATTCACTTACATGCTAATAACATTGAGAAACGTATGAATCCCTCTTCTTATCCATCTAACTGGCAGTACAGAATGGGTTCTATAGCCTTGGGTGGCAACCGGCCCAAGAGAAGGAAAACTGTGAATTCAAAGCCGGCTTGGAGAGGGTTGGACTCCAGCAGGTTATCTTGCCCAAGAACACACACTGCGACTGCGGTATGTGTGGTGACCCTGATGGGTCATGGGATTCTTGATCATGATTGCGTGAGAAACAGCATAAACATATTCTGCTAATAGAAAATACCATTTATTGTTCTAAAGTCCTGAAAAAGAAACAATGTTCTTGCGCAAATTCCAGCCTAATTCCGCTATGAGACATATTCTTTGGAATTTTAATCGTAATATTAGCCATTCAGCATTCATTGACCGTCGATTGGAATTTATAAATGTCTCTCTCTTACATATCAGGAAAATGAGTTTCTCAAGTCTAGTAGCTGTTTTCGCTCTATTGCTCTATTCCTATTGATAGGGGTTTCCTTCCTAACCTTATACTTAAAGTAGTGTAGAATTGTCAGCAGCTGGATTATATAAGTATTCTCTCTTCGAGTCACATATGCTGTCCATTTTAGTTATTGCTGTTGTCGTGGATCATGAAACTGATGTTCTCATAGAGGTTGCATTTTGTACGTAGTTTTTTTTTCTGAAATAATAACAAAAATGACGCAATATTTTGTTCAAGTATTTCAGATATCCATAAACGAATTTAACCTATAAAGACGAAAGTTAGCCGCAAGTACACAGTAAGGTTCGCTGACATAGATACACGCCACACTCTCTGGAGACTGAACGACTCGTGGCCTATATATACAGCATATGCCGCCCTGGGATTACGTGAAACTGTTTGGTTATAGTTAAATACTTCGTTTCGTGGCGGAGATTCTTACATTAAAAATCAATGAGGGGGTGCTGAAAATTTCCCCCTCGAACCAACTTCCTCAGATTAATATTTTAATGAGAAAAGTGTCAGGGTGTTTTCTCTTTTTTTTAATCTTTCACCCCATGCAAAGCAGAAAATCCACTAAGATACAAAGGGTTGCAAGGAGTGAAAGAAAATTTAGAGAATTTACTGAGAAGTAAAGAAAAAGACAATAAAGGAACACGATAAAGGAAAGCAAAAGATAGCGATTGACATTGCATTTAATTTTCTGAAGAATTTAGGCGGCAGGGACGCAAGAATCCGGAAGAGAGTTACACAGGCAAGAAGTTCGAGAAAATAAACTATTAAAATAGAACTGACGGCTGCATCTAACTAGCAGTCGAAACACTAAGAAGAAAAGTTCATCAGAACAAATGCCATGAAAATATTGGTAGAAAAGACAGAGGGAAAACACGTCACCGTCAGTGAGAAAGTGACGATGCCAGGTTAGGATCTATTATATCACAAACTCAAGATTTATAATAGGAGCACCGGACCATATATGGAAGCCGTATTCAATGCACGAATGAATGGTAGATTTATAAATATGCAACATGGATTCTAACGAGAAGAATTGTCTGTCACGACACAGCGGATCAATTTTCCTAGCAGACGACCTAGCAGATGATTCGTTATAATCCCTCCCACTTCATGTCAATGGAAAACGTAATCCCAAGAAGGCCCAAAGGTTGCTCTTTTGGAGGTTAGCATCAACCATGCTGATGGCAGGCAGAAAATACTCTCTGTGATGATTAAATGAAAGTAATTTTGTTTTGGAGGCGTTAAAATTTACAAGCCATCTGTTGCATTAGTTAATTACTGATTAGAGGTCCTTTTCTAGAGTAGTTGCCAGTTTGTCATTGTCCGACATATCGAACTTGCTACTAAGACATTAGTAAGCAGTTGTGTCATATGTTTAGATACATAACTGGCAAAAGATGATATTCGGATAATTAGGTTCGATTAAATGTACTTGAAGTGTTTCCAGTCAGCAAAACCTTAATTACACAATTTATAGGAATATATTAAAGAGATATTAAAGCCGTTGAGCTTGTGAAGAATGCCAGCCATTCACCCCATCATTCTTATGGTATATGTACACTTTGAAAAAAATAAACTTTCCTTGAGCAAATATTCTTTGCGCTCAATCTATATCAATACCGATTGATTTGGTAAAAAAATATTTTATAGATATTCATAAAGTTTTCTCTAATCTGTTTGATTAAAAATAATGTTTTTTTTTAACTGATATTTACGCTGGAGTAAGACAATGAGGGAGAGAAAAGAGGAAGATCGTGTTGCGGGGAGCACCAACATTCTTTGAAAATAATAATTCTAAAGACTGACGTTTATCTGGGATCGAACATCGTCCAGTGGCGTCCGTGGTAACCACGCGGATATTTCACTCAACAGGCTTGCAAACCATATTTTTCGTCTTACGGCTACATTAGGTTGAAACACCGATTCCCGTGCGATCACAGAAGTTAAGCAACGTCAAGCTTAGTCAATACCTACAAGGGTGACCGCTTCGGAATATCATGTGTTGTAAGCTTGGGTGTGCGTATGGTGTAATAGAACTGTTAATTGGTAGCCGAGTTGCAATTTCTGTGGGGTTCGTTATATTCACTTACGCGCAAATGGCCTTCATATATGAATATCTATGTTGATGAGACAACCGTATATGGGTACATCGCCAAAACTCTAAATGACTCTTGTCCGCACAGAAATCAAGTGAAACGCGTACATACGATCCATCGCTAAAGACACTGGAAAAATTGGTCGGTTCCCTGAACAACAATAATTACCCGCCTCTTCCTGCTGTCCTGTACCTTTACAAGAGCTAGAGCAGGCCTAAAATTGAGTACTGCTGTCATATATATGCACAGGAGCTGGCCAGTATTCACTTTCTAGTCTCGATAGTTTCCACCCTACAACCTCTTTTCCACAGTCGAAAAGTCGCAAGTCTCTCGCTGCTCTATCGTTTTTTTTCCATGGAAAGTGTTCAGAAGAACGACATTCCCTAGTTCCACCAGTTCTAACCTTCACAGCTAAGAATCCCCCCCCCTCACGCTGACGCACATTGTAGCGAAACACTGACATTCCCTTCGGATTCCATTGATGAAATGAAAGTTCCACTTGAGCAGCTTCTTTTTCCGAACATTTGCTTTGTGAAACCGCCACCCAAAAGGATGCTTCCGCGATCACAACAACCTTAACCAATTCAAGTCTAAGCAATATCCGTTACGTTCCCCACATACCAGCGTAAACCGTGCCTATTACTCTGTAACTGTCTATCTCCATTGGCTCTTGGGCATTGTACAGGTGAACATAAAAAAAAGAAAGATATAGCATAGCGTCTTAACTGTAAATGACTGAATTGGCAGAATTAGAAAATATAGGTTTGCCATAGACATAATGATATGTCCCGGAAAGGGATATATTTGTTCGAAGTAGCTAAGTGGTTGTTGACTACTGTAACCGGGTAGGACAGTCTAGCAGGTAACCGTAATGGACTGGTCCTCGTCGTAGTGGTAGGCAATAGGCGAAGACAATAGGCGTCGTCCATGTACCTCCACATCAGTCTGTATTTATGGCTGACACCAGCCAATCCTATTACTGTGAGTGGGAACCCAGGTGTATGCATATTTATTACATCAAATATCGATCGAACAATTACAGACTTGTGACGTTTCGCCTGTGTCCGTAGGGTGGAAATTTAGCCATCTATAAGGCTACGCAGACACTTTTACAGTCTCTCAAGCCTGGAGAGCTGAGCTATGAAAGCAATGCTCCATTTTCGGTCTGATCTGACACTAATGATAAAGGGATAGCAGAAGGAGTCAGGTACATTCTGGAGCGGTACCTGAAACAACCATTTTTCCAGTATCTTTACCGATGGATCGTACATATTTGTCTCATTCAAGGTCCGGGTTGAACTTGAATCCCAAAGTAAGTCACATCTATTCCGTTATATGACCCAAGGTCGAGCCTTATTTAAATAATGAACTGAAAATAATAAACCATTTTTTTTCTGGGCAAGGAAATCGGTTAGCTTAGATTTAATGATTTTGTAGGATGTCAACTTTTGTTTGCTTATTTAATTCAGAAGTTTTTTTATGAAACTTCCATCGAGGATTGAAATCATTACTAGGAGCCAACCACACCGAGGCACCTTAAAGAAATCGCCTGCCAAAAAACGGTGTACTTATTGTTGGAAATATGACAGAGTGGATAATCATGTAAGTCTAAGAAGTTCTTTTGTATATGGCGTCTTTTCGAAACTTATGATCTATCAGTTGTTCTAATCTGTGCAGTGTTCATTGATGGATGAGAGGTTCTAAGGAAAAAACATTCCTCAAAGAATTCATGGAGTAAAAATCGGATTTTTTTGTTTTTAAGCAATGAACAATACAACTAAATAGTTTATGTAAAATCATTGAAAGCTAGCAAATTATTTTAATAACAGAATTATACCGCGATATGAAAAAATGTTTTTATTTAATAATTTCATCCTAAGTAAGACAAGAAAGTTACTAAGACGCAAGAAGTCATTAGTATTAAAGAATATGAGAAAGAACATGAATTATAAAGAAAAAAACTTTTAGTCACAAAAATGCTGCAATATTTAGCATCAAACTAATAAGAATTTTGGAATTACCTTATACTTTAGAAAGAGAAAAACGTCAATATAGCATTAGTAATATATATGTATAGAGGGTTGAGATATTTCAAAAACATAAAAATTAATCAGTTATACATTTCCTTACAGAGAAAGAAAATATTTTATGCCTTAGAATATTTTACTGACTTTTATTAGAGAAAATATTTTTATATATAAAAAAAAATTACTTAAATTTCCCAGATTTATATTTTAAATAGTTTTTAAATATCCAGAAGGTTTTAAAAATAGATCAAGTTTCCCCTCCACGTATCAAAGTTCTGTTCTGTACGATGTTTTTAAAGAAATAATTAAATTCTCAGACAGCCATTTCTCGATATAAACCTTCAAGATTTTCACGACTTTGCAAAATTTGTTATTTTTTCTTTTAAATAAACAAAATTTAATAGGTGTGTGCAAAAGTTTCCATTACTTTTTTTTCAAATAAAAAAATAGGTTTCCTTCTGTGTATTCAGTATTTTGTTTGCTTTATAAAAACAGGGTGATGTAAATTTTTAAATACAACTAACAAACTACAAGAAAACACAAATGCGAGAAAGATGTTTATAATACTTTTGGAAATTTGCGTTCCCATAAACGCAGTCTAATGACTTCATTCCTCTAACAAATAAATCTGATTAATAGTTTATATATATATATATATATATATATATATATATATATATATATATATGTAATTATTTATTTAAAAATATGATTCCAACGCGATATAAGAGTTCTCATGTTTCAAAACAAGAGCCGAAAACTTCAATATAATTATTTGAATTAAATTGAATTAAAGTACTAAGCTCTGTTCCATCTTCAAGCGAAATTTTTACTGGAATAACTTATTCCTGAAATGTACGCGTTTTATAAGCATATTCATTATTGAAATTAAGATTACTATGGTAAAGGCTAGAGCAATTGTTGAAAGAAAAGGGGCGTAAGGGTTAATATTTTGTATCAATATCTCAGTTACATTCACAGACGTCAAGTCAGGGTAAGGTTGAGGTGTCTAAATTTAAAGCGGAAGATGACATCGTCTAGTCTGGTTAAGTGTCTATGGAGATTTATTTATTTTTTTCTTTTCTTTTTTTTCTTTTCTGAAAGGGTTTTGTGTATATTAAAAAAACTGTCGTAAGTCGCTAACATTTGTTTTTTTGACGACTTCATAAAGGGTTATCTTTATTTATTTATTTTTGTAGGGCATTTAAACTATTTATTTAGACTATGGAATTTAAAAATTATTTATTGTTTGTTTGTTTTTATGCTAATTATTCAATGCGAAAATTTTATGATGTCGGCAAAAAAACCATTAACTCCTGTCTATTGTTTAATAAATTTTTTATTATTTAGAAACTTAATAATGTGTAGTTTTTCATGTAGGCATAAAGGGCATGGGTCATCCCAAGTTTTACAAGTTCTAGTTTTGTTTATAATTTTCCATTTTACTTTTGGTGTTTTATTCATTTCCTTCAAATGCCAAAATATTTAGATAGAGATGTCTGATTTCTTTTATTTATATTGTTGAAGGAGCTTTTATGCTGTCTCCATCTGGTTTTAAATTCATTCTTCATATTATATCATATTAGGACTCTCGATGGATGAGATAGTACATTGGTATACCACAGATTTTACGCAGCATTCATTTTCCAATGGGCTGTCTTCTGGGTTTCTACAATCACATAATTTCTCACTATTTTTGTCTAATTTAAGTTTAGGGTTTTTTATTAATACTATTCTGGCATGGGGATTTATTCAGGATTTTATTATTGTGTTTTTTATTATACTTTCTAGATTTTCAGTGTAACTGTAACTTAATTTTTTTTTGTTTTTTATTAAATATCTTTAAAGTTTACTATTTGTAGGAAAGTGTTTTTCAATTAAAGCTAGGAATTTATGTCCTAGCTTAATACAAATCATTTGGTTGAACGGAGGGGTATACCAAATGATTTTTTTTTCCTGTTTTTTTTTGTACTAACCAGAAGTTAAACAGTAAAGAAAAAATTGTTTCTATAATTGATGTTAACATTTTTTAAAAATTGTTATTTTTTAAAAAATTGAGTTATAAAATTGCTGTGGTGTTGGAATATTTTTTATTATAAATATTAATGTGTTGTTCTATTTCTTTATTGATGAGGGTATATTGTTTAATTATGGATGGAGGGTGGTTTGACTTCGGGTGCATACATAAGGGGTTAGTATTAGGTTTTTTATAAGGTTGGTATGTGTTGTTTGTTAAATCTAGAGTTACGTCGAGGAAGTTTACCCTTTTTAATTTAGTACAGACTGTTGTTTTTAAATTTAGATTTTTAAAATCACTATATATAATCTTTCTAATTTTCTCTATTTTAAAATTAGTAGTACTCTCTACTACCATGAGCCCGTCATCTCTATACAATCCGATGTCCTTAATATCTATTTCACGGTGCGCGGTCAGGTTGTACAATATTAAAAGACCGACAATGTCAGAAGACTCTGCAGAGTCCAAAGATCCCATAATGATGTCAAAATGGTCATTATTGTTTTTAATCTATTGGTCCCCATTATGAATGAGGACAGATTTTTTTGCACAGGGCATTATATTTATTTCTTCCTTTGTTAGGTCAGAATACACAACAGCAAACTCCAGGGCAGCCGTGAACAGATCCTTCGATATTGACGTGTAGTAATTCACGATATCGAACTCTAATAGGGTGAAATCAGGTTTATTATCGATATTGGTGAACCAATTGATGACATCTTTTGTACTAATCCATAATTTTAATCCAAGGTGGTTTTTAATTTGCCAAGTGATTCTTTCCAGGATTCTTTTGCTTATCTTACCGATGTCGGGTCGGGTAATCATTCTTGTAGTAGGGTTTTCTATAAAATATTATTTTTTTCAAAAGA